CCTTGCTTTCTTACATGAAGTTATTTTAATTTTGATAAAAAACTAGGAAAAGAAGAAATTGATTCTAGAACAAACCATCCAATATGAGTGATCAACCTTCAGGATGAAGGGGCATGGGTTTTCCAAGTGAACAATTAGACAACAGTCCTTGGGAACATGTGATACAGTTTGGAGCATGTGAGTGGAGGGCTCAAAGTGGCATTTCTGCAAGGAAAATGTTAAAACTTGTATTACTGATGTTGGTAGTATGGTAAAGCTAGTTATGAAGGACTGAATAGTGTTCCCTGACCCCTTCCAATTTACATGTTGAAGTCCTAGCCCTACTAGCAATCAGTGTTAAATGAGGTTGGAAGGGCAGCGCCTGATGTAAAATGAGACACCATAGGCTTTCTATTTGTCTCCACACACTCATTGGAAAGTCCCTGTGAGGGCGCAGGGAGAAGATAGCTAGTTTGCCCCACAAGAGAGCCCTCACTAGAAACTGAATGCTGCCACACCTAGAACTTCCAACCTCTTGTGAGAAATAAATTTTTGTCATTTAAGCCACCTGGTGCATGGTATTTTGTGATATAATGCTAAGCAGTCTTCAGTTCCTACTGATTCTTGACGGGAAATTTTTAAATATTCAGAAACTTGATATCCCATTTGAAAGTGTGATAGTTTTAAACTTGCCATTTCAGAGGTATCCATACTACAAAATTAGCAAATACTACAATCAATACTTCCTCTCATCCCTAAAGAGCCACATTGCTAGTGTTATCAGACAATATTATGTCTGCTGGGGCTGGAACTGTGGCATAGAAGGTAAAGCCACCGCGTGCTACCTGCAGTGCTGGCAATTCCTTATGGGCACTGGTTCAAGTCCCAGCTGCTCTACTTCCAATCCAGCTCTTTGCTATGGCCTGGGAAAGCAGTAGAAGATGGCCCAAGTCCTTGGGCCCCTGCACCCACATGGAAGACTCAGAAGAAGCTCCTGGCCCGTGGTTTCAGATTAGCACAGCTCCAGCCATTGTGGCCTTCTGGGGAGTGAACCATTGGATTGAAGACCTCTCTCTCTCTCTGCTTCTTCCTCTCTGTAACTCTGCCTTTCAAACAATTAAATAAATCTTTAAAAAAAGAAAATATTATGTCTGGGAACTCAGGGATGAATTAGCATTAGGTGAAAACTTAGCAAAATAAACATAAACAAGCTATGAAATCTCAGAAAATTAAAATATTTCACAAGAAAGAATGCATTCTCCCCATATAATATTTATTCTGGTATGATAATATTTACCTGGTAATAAAACAATGACAAAATAAGTGGACATTTGGTCTAACAGTTAAGAGAGTGGCTGGGATGCCTGCCTTCCATACCATACCTGTTTTCCAGACCCACATCCACTCCTGATTCGAGCTCCCTGCTAACATGCACCCTGGGAGACAGCAAGTGATGGTTCAGAAGCACTTGGCTTTGGTCTATTCTTGGTTACAGTGGGCATTTGGGAGTGATCCAGTGGATGAGAATTAACTCTCCTTTTTCTCTCTCTCTCCCACTCTCCCACTCCTGTTTACTTGTTGAATATTGTGTGGTTATTAGTTCATTAAGCCTGTGATGATAGTATGGATTGAAATATTTTTTTTGCAAAATTTAAAGGAAAAAAGGAAGGAAGGAGGGGGTTTGAGGGTGGGAGGGGGAAGAGAGAGAACCATGGTTATTTTCTTAGATTTGTACCTATGAAAGACATGAAATCAGTTCTGTTTGTATTAGTAAAAAAATTTTTAAAAATTAAGTAAAGTGAGTTATGAACTTCATGAAAATTCTGATTGTTATGAAATTTTGACTGCATAAAAATGTCTATATGAGTATGTCTGTGTAAGGTTTATGTAAGAAATCCAGTATTTTACTTATAACTTCCATCTTAGGCCTATGATTTATGCAGCAATAAATGCGCTGTTATCACCACAAGAACATGGAAAACCACATTATCCACAAAACCAGCACTTTTGTGAAACACATGAGTAGGATGAGTTTGCAGCAAAAAATAAAATAAAATAAAAATTCAGTAAAAATGAAACTTTAAGGAAAGAGAAGTACCAAAAAAGTGAGATGAAATAAGTGCCAGTTTTCTATGCCAGAATCCTGTAAGACAGACTATCAGATTTACATTTATAGTTACAGAAGGAAAAGAGAGAATTTGGGAGATGAAATATTTGAAGAAATGATAATAAAATTTTTCTAAAAATACTGAGGAAGTTGAGAAACCCAGAGAACCCCAAGCAGGGTCATTTTCTGACTCTGTCAGACTCTTTCTGTCAGTTTCTTTCTCACTTTCTCCCTCTCCCTCTCTCTGTCTCACTCACACACATTCACATACACACATACAGATACACAAACATACACATGCACATCTAACTAGCAAATATACCTAAAATTAATATCCAAAATCATTAGAGTAAAAGTTAAGTCACAAAAAATTTGAAGGAAGTAATAGAAACAAACCCATTACATGGAGAAAAGCAGAGTTATAATAGACTTCTTGTTAGAAACTAAGAAAGAAAACAATAAAATGATATTTTTAAAGTACTGAAGGAAGATACCTTAATTAATTAATTTTTTTATATTTGAAAGAGAGAGAGGCTGTCTATTGGTTCACTTTCCAAATGTCTACAACAGCCAAGGCTGGGTCAGGCTAAATCTAGGTGGCATGAACTCAGTTTGGGTCTCCTACATGAGTAGCCAAAATCCTACGTGAGTAGCCATCTACATGATATAGCCTCCTACATGAGTAGCCTCCTACATGAGTAGCCATCATTTGCTGTATTGCAGAATGCACACTAGCAGAAATATAGAATCGGGAGTTGAGGCAGGACTTGACCCAGGCACTCAGATATGGATTGTAGATACCCCAAGAAGCATCTTAACCACAAACTGAAATCCTGCACCCATTAAACCAAATTTTATGCGCAGGGAAAATGTGTGTGTGTGTGTGTGTGTGTGTATAAAAGATTTATTTATTTATTTGAGAGGTATAATTACAGAAAAAGAAACACACAGAGAAAAAGGTCTTCTATCCGCTGGTTCATTCCTCAGATGGCCACAACAGCTGGACTGAGCTGATCTGAAGCCAGGAGCCAGAAGCTTCTGCAGGGTCTCCTACGTGGATACAGGGGCCCAAGCACTTGAACCATCTTCCACTGCTTTCCAGGTCATAAGCAAAGAGCTGGATCAGGAGAGAAGCAGCTGGGACACAAACAGATGCCCATATAAGATGCTGGCACCACAAGTAGAAGCTTAGTCTACTATGCCACAATGCCAGATCCCCAAAATATATTTTAATTGATACTTTACCCACTAGGTTAACTGCCCACTCCTAAACAAACTCATATCAAAATAACTGTATACAATAGTACTGTATGGAACATGATAATTTATTTTAATAATATATTTTAGACATTCAAATTTTATACTTTTTTACTATTATAAATAGTTTGCCATTAAATACCAAATAGTTAAGCTGTTGTATAATGTAATACTTTATCCATTTTAGTATTTTCTCTTTGTTTTGTTCTAGTACTATTGGTTGAACTCTGTGATTAACACACAATTATTCTTAGGTGTTGAAATTTTAACTGAAAAGTGATCCCTGTTAAATATAAGAGTGGGAATAAGAGAGGGAGGAGATGTACAATTTGGGACATGCTCAATTGGACTTGCCCCAAATGGTGGAGTTAGAATCATGCCAGGAAATCCCAATACAATCCCATCAAGGTGGCATGTACCAATGCCATCTCACTAGTCCAAGTAATCAATTTCAGTTCACAATTCATCACACTGATAGGTCTAAGAGTCAAAAGGATCACACAAGCAAGTCTAGTGTCTGCTAATACTAGCTGATAGAATCAAAAAGGGAGAGAACAATCCATCATGGGAAACAGGATACACAGTAAACTCATAGAATGGCAGATGTCCTAAACAGCACTCTGGCCTCAGAATCAGCCCTTAAGGCATTCGGATATGGCTGAAGAGCCCATGAGAGTATTTTAGGCATGGAAAGCCAAGACACCCTGGAAAAAAAAAAAAAAAAAAACACGGAAGACCTAAATGGAAGATCTCTGCGTGTGAGATCCCAGTGGAAAGAATGGGGCCATCAAAGAAGGAGGTACCTTTCTCTGAAGGGAGGAGAGAACTTCCACTTTGACTATGACCCTGTCGGAATAAGATCGAAGTCGGCGAACTCAAAAAGCTTCCATAGCCTTGGCAACTCATGACTAGAGCCTAGGGAGATTACTGACACCATAAACAAGAGTGTCAAATTGTTAAGTCAACAACAGGAGTAACTGTGTGCTTACTTCTCATGTGGGATCTGTCCTTAGTGTGTTGTCCAATGTGAAGTAATGCTATAACTAGTACTGAAACAGTATTTTACACTTTGTTTTTCTGTGTGGGTGCAAACTGATGAAATCTTTACTTAATATATACTGAATTGATCTTCTGTATATAAAGATAATTGAAAATGAATCTTGATGTGAATGGAATGGGAGAGGTAGCGGAAGATGGGAGGGGTGTGAGTGGGAGGTAAATTATGGGGGGTAGCCATTGTAATCCATTAACTGTACTTTGAAAATTTATATTTACTAAACAAATAATTAAAAAAATAATAATATATTTTAGGCATTCAAATATTATACTTTTTTACTATTATAAATAGTTTGCCATTAAATACCACATAGTTAAGCTATTGTATATATGACTCATCATTTCCTTTGGTTATATTTCCTAAAAATGAAAAGATTTTTAAATACTTACGTATGTTAGCATATTATCATAAATTGCATCCCCTCTAAAGCAAGTTGACTCAATTTATTCTCTTCCTTGTTTAACACCATATACTTCTAGGCTTTGTTAACTTTCTCTCAAAACATTGTATTTCAAGTTAGAATTGGTGTTGTGGACTAAACATGTGTTTCTTCCAAAAACTTTGTGTTGAAATTCTAATCCAAGGTATGATGATATTTAGGAAATGGATTCATTTCACAATGATTGGATCATGAAAATGGAGCCCTCAAGAATGGGATTGATGCCTTTATGGAACAGGAGACACAGGAAGTGCCATCATTTTTCCATGTGAGAACACAGTGAAAAGCTGTGAATCAGAAAGTGGACTTTCATCAGACACGGAATGTGTTGATGCCTTTAGACTGGTCTTCCCAGCTTCTAAAAATGTGAGACATAAATGTTAATTATTTAAGACACTTAACCTATAGCATTGTTGTTATATTAGCTTGAGTACAATAAGAGAACTGGAATCACTCCTGGCTCTGAATGAGACCTAGAATGCCCCTTCCCAACGTCAGAGCCCACTTTCCCTGGATAGAAACTAGGGTTGACGCATCAAGGTGAGAGAGTCTAGTCAAGAAAACAGACTCTAAACACAAGATGCAATTCCCCATCTGAGGCCTTGTAACAGTATCCTAGGGCTGTCATCACAAATTACCATGCACTAGGTGGCTTAAAACAAGAAAAATAATTACCTCAAAGTTCTGGAGCCAGATGTCCCAAATCAAGTTGTCAGCAGGTACATATTCCTTCTACTGACTCTGGGACTTCAGGGAAGAATCCTTCAGGCTGCAGACTCTAGGAAAAAAAAAAATCCTTCCTGGAATCTTCCTAGTGACTGATGATTTCCAGCAGTCGTCAGCATTCCTTAGCTTGCAGAGGTGACCCTGCAATTTTGGCCTTGGACATAACATGGACTGTTTCACTCTATATCCACTATGTCTTCAAATCTCTGTCTTCATAGGACCATTCTAGTCATTCAATTTAGGACACATTATAGTGCAGTGTGCCTTCATTTTAATTTTATTCTATCTGCAAATATCCTCCTTGCAAATAGCATTAGAATCACAGATACTAGTGGTTAAGCTTCAACAAATCTCTACAGAGGGACACAATTTATTCTACAGTAGTCACTAACTGAATTTGTGGATGAAAGCAGTACTTAGAAAAGTCTGAAACAACTATCATGATCATGATCAATATCACTTCCTTCAGTTTCATACAAGACTTAACCTCTTTGTGACAAAGAATCCCTTTCTAAATTGCATCTTGAATTGGAATAAATGTTTATGAAAAGGAAACACCTGCCACTCTCATGATCTGCATCATGAAGATAAACCCACAATAAATAAATAATCCACACTGTCACAGAAACTAATTGTACCCAGAATGTGACATGATTCTGCAATGTGCTCTTTATAATCACAGGGCTATTTCAGTTGTGTTAAGAGGCTGCACAGAGAAGAGGAGCCTGTGCTCATTAAGATAAGTGGCACATTTAATTATACACTCAGAAACACAGGTTTCAGTACATTGTGTGCAGGAGCAAATTACATTCCCCGTACCTTTCAATATAATGACAGATTGCAAATCAGAGTCAAGATAATACTGTTAGAGTAAAACCATCCCAAACTATCCATTTTTACCCAATCTTTGTATTTCCTGCACAGAAGTTAGCATTGTCTACAGCTGAAACACAGAAGACAGAGAATTTCAGCATTTTCGTTTTTAGAAAGGCATTTATTGAGCAATAGTAGTGTGGAAGATCTCACTGTGGGTGCTTGGGATACACCAATAACGAACAAAGCAAAAGCTAAACTAAAAAGATGAAGGTCTAGGTCTTTTGATGCTTATAGTCTACCAGAATCTCCAGTGAGAATTCTTTTGTTTTACTACTTCTGTTGTTAATTTTGGATATTCCCTATTGGTAAGTAATTGAATTTTTTGTTGGAATCCAAATGTCTGTGTATGTATGTTTGTATACAAATCCCAAATTTACATGTATTATAACCAAAAGAAAATGGCCCATTGAAAAAATTAAACCATTATATTTTCTTAGTACTTTCCATTAAGAACATAAAATTCTGTTGTTCTAAAGTGTGATTTTATTATTTATTTATTTATTTGAAAGAGCAAGGGAGAAAGACATTGTGAGAAATAGACATATTTATCTACGGCTCAATCCCCAAATGCTTGCAACATTCAGGGCTGGGACAGCAGCAGCCAGGAGCCAGGAACTTTATCTGAGTCTCTCACATGGGTCACAGGTAGCCAAGTACCTGAGACATCATTTACTGCCTCTCAAGATGTTAATGAGCAGGAAGGTAGATGAGAAGCAGAAGAGGGACTGCACCATGGACACTCCAATAGGGGATGTGGGCATTCCAAGTGGTGGCCTAATCTGCTGAGCCACAATGCTTGCCCCACACATGCAATTTTAAAATCATGTCCCCCAACTACTTTAGTGACTTTATGTTTAAGGAATTAACGGTATTTATTGATTTGAAGTTTTATTGCTGTATGGGATATAAATAAAAAATTGTATTTTCCATTTGATAACTCTGAAAATCCTATAATCATGTATATTTTATCAAATTCACTCATCTATTTACTGTGATAATTTAAAGCCATGAAGTTAAATTGGTTACTGTTTTGGTTGTAAATTTCATGTCTTTTCTAAAATTTGTATTGAAACCTGAACCCTAATGTGATTGTATTAAAAAGCTGATCTTCTGTATATTAAGATAATCGAAAATGAATCTTGATGTGAATGGAAGGGGAGAGGGAGTGGGAAAGGGGAGGGTTGTGGGTGGGAGGGATGGTATGGGGGGGAAGCCATTGTAATCCATAAGTCGTACTTTGGAAATTTATATGCATTAAATAAAAGTTTAAAAAAAAAAAGAAATGCTCATGATATACAAGAGTAGAATTGTAAAGAATACTAAGTACTTGAAATAACTGCTGGTAGGAATCTGTAACAATCAATAAACAGAGAATAAACACAAAAGGAAAAAAAAAAAAGAGGGGCCTTTAGATAAAATACAAATGGCCAACAGACACATAAAACGATTCTCAGGATCACTAGCCATCAAGGAGATGAAAATAAAAACAACAATAAGGTTTTACCTCACCCCAGTTATAATGACTATAATCCAAAGTCAAAAAATGAGAAATGCTGGCAAGAAGGTTGAGAAAAAGATACCTTAATACACTGTTGGTGGGAACATAACCTAGTACAATCATTATGGAAGACAGTATAAAGTTTCCTCAGAAATCTGAAAATAGATCTACCATATGAACCAGCCATCCTACAATTGGAAATATACCCAAAGGAAATGAAATGAGTGTATTAAAGAGATACTGGTACCCTAATGTTTATAGCTGCTTGATTCATGACAGTTACATAGAATCAACACAGATTTCTATCAGCTGATGACTGGATAGGGAGAGTGTTGTATATATACATGATGGAATAGTACTCAGTCATAAAAAGAATGAAATTCTATCTTTTGCAAAAAAAAAAAAAGATGCAATTGGAAATCATTAAGCTTATGAAATAAGCCACACCCAAAAGGACAAATATCACATATTTTCTCTGATTTTTGGTAGTGAATACAAAAACCTTAATATTTGAGTGAAATTGACATGTTATGATTACTGTTTATAGCTCTTGTTTATATTTTGGTTGAACAGTCAGTCATCTTTCTACTTATTACTTCTTGAACTCTTTATTTATTGGAACGTTGGTCTATGATTATGAAGTAAATTAAAATATGTTATCACAAAAATTAAAAATAAAAGGAAGGAAGGAGGAGGGAGGGAAATATCATTATATTCTTAGAATTGTATCTATGAGCTACATGAAATCTGTTTTCCCTATATTAATAAAAAATTAATAAGTAACAAAATGGGACTTTGAGAAGGTGATTAAATCACAAGAGTGGATTCCTTATGGATGGAATGAGTGACATTATAAAAAGCCTTAAGGAAATTACCTACACTGTTTTGCCCTTCTTCTTTCTGCCTTCAACCATCACATTTGTTCTCTCTGGAGGATGCAACAACAAAGTACTTGCTCTGCAGCAGAGAGCAGCCCTCACCAGATGCTGTGCCAGCGTGTTGACCTGGGATTTCCCATCTCTGGAACCCTAGGGAAAAAATTCTCTTTTGAAAATTACTCAGTCTCTCATATCTTGTCATACCGGAACAAATATACTAAGACACCTACCAAATACTCTTGTCTATTTCTTGTTTAACACTTAGGAATTAACTTTTTATAGCACTCATAATGCTGTACAGAATTTTAAGCCTTGAAGTGAACTTCAAGCAGCCATCTCTCAGCCCTGTATTATTTTGTTAAATGCTTGGCTCTCCTTGTTGCAAATTTCTATTTGAATTGTCCCTGCATTGCATACTTGTTACAAGTGAATCAAATTTTCGATATATTTTACTTAGGTGAAGTCCAAATCTGCCTCTCCATGCCTACCATTGATAGGTCTTTGTCAGGGATGGTATCATTCTTCATGTAATGAAAAGATTCTAAGGTGATTCCTATGATCTCTGCTTCCTGGTATTCACTCCTTCAGTTGCATGACCTGTAAGTTGATTCTAGCCAATAGAATATAGAAACAGTGATATCATATGGGTGATATTGCATATGTTACTGGATTACAGAAAAAAAGTTATGCGAGTTTCTTTCCCTTGATGCCTTTGAATAATAATCTTCCTTACTGGATAGGTCCATGTGGCAGCGAACTGAGGATGATGTCAATCAACAAGAAGTAAATACCTTAGACCAGCCATCAAAATCAAATAAACTGCTGCCAACATCAATATGAACTTAGAAGCCAATTTTCCACTGGAGCGTGTGATGAGAACCAAGTCCCAGACAACATCTTGACTGAAGCTTTGTGAGATCCTAAAGAACCAGCTAAGTTGTGTCCAGGCTCCTGACCCACAGAAATGATTCAATAATGTGTGCATGTTTTTTTTTAGGTAATTAAGTTTGTGGTAAAATGACTATACAAGAATAAGTAAATATATACTCCATATGTCAAATTTGAGCATTATTTAAACTTTCTGGATTCCTAAGATTGAGAAAGATTATGCAGCCACGTTCAAGCTCAGCAAGATAAAGTGCTATTGGTGATATATGGAATGAGCTGCAATGAGAAGAAGTAATACATTTGCCTTTTATAAGTCATTCTACCCTCTCACACTCTGTGAGACCAAAGTGAGCACGTGAAATGATGTCATATGTCAATCTTTTATTCAAGATCAATACAGTCAGAAAATGTTGTTAAATGCCCAATCAGGAAAGGGGCATGGTTTGAAACAGGCTACATGTAAGTTTTTATGCATACATTCTTTTTTTTTAACTTTTATTTAATGAATATAAATTTCCAAAGTACAGCTTATGGATTACAATGGGTTATGCATACATTCTATGAGGGGTTGTAACTGGAACAAATTGTCCTAATTTGAAAGTCTCAAATTCCAGTCAAAAGGGCTCAGCTATTTCTGGGCTGCAGAAAATGGTGGCTTTGTAAACTAGTGGTCCAGTGCTCCAGGTTTAAAAATTTAAAGTGAAACAAAATACTTCAATTTTTATGTGAAATTTCCCACTTTTGTGAGCTGGAAATTATGGCCCAACAGGTTAAGCCTCCACTTGCAATGTGGTTTCATGTCCATTTCCTATTCAGCTCTCACCTAACGCAACTGGGAAAGCAGCAGAAGATGGCCCTAGAACTTGGACCCCTGCCACTCTCATGTGAGCCCTCAGTGGAGTCCCAGGCTCCTGGATTCAGCCTTATCCAGTCCTGGCTGTTGCGATCTGTTGGGAAGTGAACTAGAGGATGAAAGATCTCTGTGTATGCCTGTCTCTTTCTAGCTCTTTCAAATTAGTAAATATATATCTTGGAAAAATTTTTCCACCTTTTTTACATTGACTCAATTTTATGAAAATCTGTCATACTGTTTTCATACTGGGTTTGTTATACTACTGTGGAGCCACTAGCTTCTACTTCTGTGTTTCTCTACAGAATTCACAGTTTATCTCATTACATAATACTGATGTTACCAGTACCAATTCACTTCTATCTATCAGAAAAACAATTATGATATAATCATCCCTTGATTTAGTTTTTCCCAAAGCTTATAAATTAAAGTGGTAGAATCAATACATAAGTATGTGATAGATGAAAAGTAAAATATTGAAGTCAACACTCTGTCCTTAGACTTATACTTGCAAAGTCAGTGAAAGTTGTTCATGAATGAATGTATTTGGTGCAACAAGTTGCTAAAACAGAATCATGACATGTATGTAATCATATATATCTAAGTCAAAATGCTACTTTTTCTTCAATTATCATCAAAATAGTCTAGTGTAATGGGTTGATCATTGTTTGGATAACTCTAAGTGCATCTCCAACCTGTCCAATGACATTGTGGAAGAACAATTGCTGGCATATACTTTGAAGATTGATAAGTAAAGAAGACATGCTTCGTTCTCAGAAAGCTTATCATTTTGTGGAGACAAAGAATATAAGTCAAACATCTATGAATCTATCTGATTTATCACATAAACTGACCTCAAAAGAGTTTTAGAAGAAAACAACTTCAATTTTTTTTCTCACTGTTCCTACAGGTTAATTTTGGGGACTAATTGTCTTTGCTCTGTTGGATAACATATGTTCCAAAGCTTTTCAGGTTTTCAGATGATAAATAAATTTTTCCTTTACTTTGGCATAATCTGTGAAAATGTATAAATGACTGATATTTGTAAATCTGGTTTTGGCCCTTCTGCTTTGCAAGTTCTTATGGCTATTAAATACATCATTGTGGAATGTGGGGGTACAGAGCACCTATTGATCTTTGGTGTGTCTAAAACCACAGGAAAAGTTGATTTAGCACTTTATTACTAATGCAATAGAGAAAACTAGTCATACATGAAATTTTAAGGTGAAAAATTATTAAAATCAGAGGAAAGTTTATTCTGAATTTAACTAGAAAAGTGATGAATTTATATTCTAGTGATCATGTACACTGAATCTTTTTTAAGTTCTATCTATGTGTTTTGAAAGGCAGAGTTACAGAGACAGGGAGGGGAGAGTGAGAGAGAGAGAGAGAGATCTTTCATCCACTGGTTCAGCCCCTAATTGGCCACGATGTCCAGGGCTGTGCCATGCCAAAGCCAGGAACCTTGAGCTTCCTTCTGATTTCCTACATAAGTGCAGGAGCCCAAGCACTTGGGCCAGCCTCTCCAGCTTTCCCAGGTGCATTAATAGGGAGCTAGACATGAAGTGGAGCAGCCAGGTCTCAAACTGGCACCCATATGGAATGCCCATATGGGATACCAGTGTCACAGGCAGCAGCTTAACCCACTATGCCACAACACCAGCTCTTACACTGCATCTTTTAATACTCACCATTCTTTGTATATTTAAATAAAATTCAAAATACCTGAGTAAAATTGGCAGTGTTCAAATCCCTATACAATGCCACTATCCAATTTTGGGATCAGTTGATCCCATCAATACTCATTTGTGATTCTCCAATTTGTAGAATGGAGATACTGATGCTAACTTAAGCAAGTAATCTATGCCAGGAATGTTTCTATATATTTTACATAGATTATTTCATTTAAGATTTCTGATTACCCCATAGTGTAAATAATTCAATTTTTTTGCTAATATAGAAAATAAAAATTAAGGTGGGTAAGGAAGTAGTTGCCAAGATCTCAAGATACTTGAACTTCAGTAGTTTTGCTTTTAATGCCTAATGTCTTAAATATGTTATCATATTCCTTACCTACTGTGATTGTGACTAAATGTGGTGCTTATAAGGTAACAAGAATACAAAATGTTCTCAATTAATTGTATTTATCAATAGCAACAGTGATATTAAACATAAAAATACAGATTGAAGTTATGTTAAAATAAATTTGATTATTTATTTATTTCCCATATTACCTTATCCAAATCATTTTTTTTATATCCGTGCACTCTTCATCAAAAGACCTCTATTTTGAGCACTGCATCTTTAGGGACCCTTGTGAACTGAATATTAATAGCCCATGGAAAGAGATATTCTTGCTGCTTCATCCATAGTCCCCCTTAGAATTGGAGAACCGCCCCTGGGAACAGCAGTGTCGATACCACATGGTCATTCCTAACAGCCGTGCTATTTACACTTGGTTTCTTTTGCTTTTAATGAGAGGAAATTCCTTTCCAATCTGGACAGCAATTCTCCATGGATCCTGCCTGCAGTGCAATGACAGCTAGACCTCACTCCTCTTGCAAACAAGAAGCTAGCTGTCAGTGAAATTTCAGAGAGCTTGCAAAGTTACATTGACATTGAAATTTAAGTTGGTCCTTGGCTTCTCCCTTACCCCTAGGAAAAAAAAAACCCACGTGGTCCTTTGGGTACAGCAGGAGTTTTGAGTAAGAGGGACTTCTTTTCTGCATGATTTCCTATCTGTGACATGAGCAACCATATATGCTAGTCAGAGCACAGTAAATAACTGGATCCAATAATGCTAAATTATAATCTAATGGTTCCTAAACAAAAAACTTTGTGTTTCACATACCAACTGCATGAGAACACTTCCAAAAGTTCACGGAAATGTGTATTATAAAAAAGTTATATATGGTTTAAAATTTGGCATCAAAATAAAAATCATTTTTAATTTCATTTGTATGAACTTTTTGAAGTTCTCTTATACAATTTGACTAGAAAGATAACGTCAAAAAATACATGTGCATATTAGTGCATGGTATTTCCAGTAGGTATAATAAAAAAAATTTCTTAAGTACACACTAAATGCAAAAAATGATGAAAGTGTACAAAATTGAAATGGTGGTTTGATATAAAGTATTCAAGCATTGTAAAAGAATTCAGAATTCTGAATATTGAAAGAGGTACAAGGACATTATCAACATGATTTCAAAGTTAAAATACTTCTAAATTATAGACATTTTAACTGAAGTAATTTGGATACTAAATGTCTTAGAATAATAATGCTTGAAAATACAATATTTTAAAAAAAATCTGTTTTCTGAATGTGTGTGTGAGTGTGTGTGTCTGTGTCATATTACAGTCACAAAATCTTTTAGGGTTGCAGCCATCAGATTCAGAATCCAAATTGGAAGATGGATAGGGACAAAATTCTAAGGGTATGACAGGTCAGATGCCCAATTTTAAGATATCTGAAAAGTCCAGCCCAAGGACAACATTTCCTCAAAACTATGTTGGATGGCCAGCATGTGTGGTTCTATGAATAAGGAGAGCTAGAATGACTGTTGGGTAATGAATGAGTACCCAACTTTAAAGGAATAGATTTAGGAATAAATATATTTAAAGGAATAGCCAATTACTTGTAAAGGACTCTAAAGCCAGTGGTGTGAATTTTACTCCAAATTTACAGGCTGCCTTAAAAATGTAAAGCCAAGGGGCCAGTGCTTTGGCACAACAGGCTAAAGCTCCAGCCCACAGCACCGGCCTCCCATCTGGGTGCTGGTGAGAGTCCAGGTTGCTCCACTTCCTAGCCAGGTCTCTGCTGATGTGCCTGCCTGAGAAGCAGAGGGTGGTTCAAGGCCTAGGATCCCTGCACCCACGTGGGAGACCCAGAAGCTCCTGGCTCCTGGCTCCTGGCTCCTGGCTTCAGATAGGCTCAGCTCCAGCTGTTGTGTCCATTTGGGGAGTGAACCAGCAGATGGAAGATCTCTCTCTCTCTCTCTCTCTCTCTCTCTCTCTCTCTGTGTGTGTTTACTTCTCTCTGTAACTCTGTCTTTCAAATAAATAAAATAATTATTTAAAAAAGTAAAGCCAAGCTTTTATCAATGATCTGAGTATTCATGTTTATAAAAATGAAAATATAATTTAAAAAGTGTCAATCATAATGAAGTGCTAGACTTTTTTTTCAGTATCACACAGTAAATGACAAGTCTCTATTTGCTGGCTACCCTTATTTGGGCAGAATCTCAAAGGTGAGTAAGTTATTGTCTCAGGTATGGAGACTGTTAGGTGAACAGATAATTTCAATAGAATACAGAGTGTATTAGTATAAAACTCAATGCAATTAGCTTCAGTTTGCTCAGCTTTTGAATTTAAGGAATTTTGAGATTGAAGCCAGTATGTGTTCCTAGGTGCACCATCATCAAGTGCCACAAACTCGGCAGATTAAAACAACAGTAATGCATTCTCTCATATGCATGGAGACTAAAACTGTGAAATCAAGGCTCTGGGGCTGGCATTGTGGCATAGCCAGTAAAGCTGTTTGTTGCAGCACCAGCATCCCATATAGGCACCAGTTCTAGCCCCTGCTGCTCCACTTCCAATCCAGCTCCCTGCTAATGCACCTGTGAAGGCAAAGGAAAATGGCCCAGGTGCTTGGGACCCTGTACCTATGTGGGAGACCTGGAAAAAGCTCCTGGATACTGATTTTGGATGGGTCCAGCACTGGCTGTTGCTCTCGCGCGCGCTCTCTCTCTCTCCCTCCCTCACTCCCTCTCTTTCCCTCTCTCTCCCTCTCTCTTCTTCCTCTCTCTGTGTAATGTTTTTTTTTTTTTAAATATTTTATTTATTTATTTGAAAGGTAGAATTACAAAGAGAGGGAGGAAGAGACAGAGAAAGAGGGCTTCCATCCAACCTGGATACATGCATGGCAAGGAAAAAATGGCATCCCTACCTTTCAGGAGTCTTGCAGCATTTGTGACTTTCTGAGTTTCACGTATAAGGTTATTTATTGCTGGAGGAATATTTTTATTATCCATTCTTACATGTTGACTTGTTTGTAAGTATCTTGTTGTTAGATGTTTGTGTAAAACTTTTCTTTTACA